TTCTTTTGAATATATGATTGAAATCTCCTCTCTTCTCCCCCCACACCTCTCTCTCACTCTCCTCTCTCTCTCTCTCTCTCTCTCTCTCTCTCTCTCTCTCTCTCTCTCTCTCTCTCTCTCTCACACACACACACACACACACACACACACACACACACACACAAACACACACACACACACACACATCTGGTAGTAGAATTATGTTGGAATTTTACAACAAGGTATCAAAATAATGGGACTAGATAATAGAATTCGAAATGTATTGGGACAATCTTTAAGAATAACATGGAATCTGATGAGTGTTGTCAAAGACTAGTATGCCCTACACCATCACTATGCTGTGGTCTGTAACATTCACACTATCAACTGTAATGACCTCGAAAGTGAAGCATGGATGCACACTAAGTGCTTTTATATGTTGAAAAGCATAAGGATGAAAGTTTAAGCAACATAATTAAACTCTTATGCCACCATATATGAGGTTTTCCCACTATTTGCCACATCAAGCGAGGGGATCTCTTTCGCCTCTCTACAGAGCATTTCAGTCCAAATAAAGTCATAATACACATACACACATATGAAAGAGAAAGAGAGAAATTTCTCCAGTTTGAATTTTTTCTTTTTTCTCTCTTTCTAGATTTCTCTATTAGATAATTCTGTTAATGTTTGATTGTATCCTTTTTATAATTCTCTAGTCCATGAATGTATACTCAGGGGGAAAACCATTAAAGTCCACTTATTGAAGAGGAAACAAGAGGTCGGGGCTATTGTTTTAAACCAAAACCTAAAACCTTTAAAACTGACAGTCACCCATTTTCCCCTGATGATTGCAGATTTGAGCACAGATAACCAAAGTGCTAAATCATGTTTAGTCACCTCTAATAGTACCTTTAGGATAGTGGCACCAAGAACTAAAGCGATGCTCTCAACCATCTTTGTTTCCTTTGGTCTCATCGTCACACATTAATTACCTAAAAATGTCCACACAGAACTAAAGAAACAAGTGTTAAAATTTCACTTTGATCCTCATCTTAGCCAAGATGTAATCAATGTCTTTCTATTCTCCAAGAAATCATTACTGTTGATGCTACAGATGATATCGCATTTTATATTTTTCATATTTATTTGTTTCATATTTATCAGGTATGATTTCATTTGTGTTTGTCATTTACAGAAATTCTACACACCAGGATACTGGACAGAGAATGAAGATATAAATTTAATCCCCATCTGACTCACTAGGCTCAGATAAAGAGCTATCCTTACTGAGGAGGCAAATATAAGCCACCAACTCTAAAGATGGTGCCCCCACAGCCTGTCCCAGCTCTGACTCTGTACCACCCTCCTGAGCCTTGAGTTCACAAGCCCTCCTGAATGAGAGTGAGCTGATCACCCCATCCACCGCAGGCGAAACTGCAACTATAGTTTCTTTACACTCAACCTACAATCAGCCCCTTACACTTAAAGTGTCATTCTAACAAAAACAAAGGAGAAATTTCAGTCTTTTAAATATTGCACATACCTTTCATATACCCTTCTAGGTATAGTGGGTCCTAATAGGTAGGCAGTTGCTACTCTGAGAAAACACCATCAGAGGTCAAATTTGGGGAGTCAGCAGTAGTGATCACATTCATTTTCAAGGGACTATGAAGAACCAAGACTTTTTAAAATGTCACACTCAAATGAGACACGTGCCCTCCTAGTTAGACCAAGCTTAACTATCAGAGGGAAGGTACTGGTAGATGTCCTTTACTTATGCCCAGGCATCTCTGAGTGCTGGACTCAGTTGTTCAGGTGCCTCTATTTCCTCGAGTAATAAAGAGAATGCACGAAAAAAAAAAAAAACTTTCTAACAACTTTATATCCGTTAGGGCCACATTCTGACCCTGTAAAGCCAAATGACACGGTAGCTACACGTGACTCCGTGCCTTATATAATCTTCCTCACTCACATTCTCCACAACCACCTTGATCCTATTTAGGGTCCTCTAAAAAAAAAAAATCTGAACACATCAAAGCCATCTAAAAGCAAACTGATGTAACCCAAGATGGTCTGTAGGAGGGAGGACATCAATTCTGCCTTAGGTCCTGTTAAACTCAGAAAACAGTTCCTACCCCTGCATGTTTCCCTGAGAGCCACGCTCCTTGCACAGTGCCCAGTACCTTTCCAAGACTGTACTATATAAAAATTATTTCCAAGTGTCACTGAAGACTATATTCTCCAAACACACTAAACTGCAGGTAGCGATAGAACGAGACAAGCGCGCCTGCAAAAGGCTCTGACGTGGGCAACATCCCGTCTGCGTATTACCCAGGGGATCAAAATAGAGTTCTAGTGAAGTGTTTGGGAGCATCAAGGAAGTGCAGAGGGGGTGGATCAACACCATTTTGGCTCATTTATTCCCCAGGTGTTAGGGGAAGGAAGTGTGCCTGTGAAAGGCATCTGGTAAAAGCAAACACAACCTCAGAAATTTTCAGGGAAGGCAAAAAGTACGCTCGGGATCGCGGCGGACCCCGCCACCAGCGAGTTTCAAACACACTTCAAGCATTTTTCCCCCTCCTAGACCCTTGCATGCACCCCCACTCCTTGGCTCCCTCATGCCCCCACTCCCACCTCCCTTTCCCAATCCGGTCTGGGTCCGCACTCTCTCTCATGCAGCGATGGCAACAAGCGTCTCCCCCCAGCCCCCGCCCCCAGCGTGGAAGGGGCACCCGATCATAGCGAGGGAAGGACAGTGCCAGCGGGGCGCCTGATCGCGAGCCCATCTCATCCTACCGCCTGTGGAGCTCGCCTCCTCCAGCTGAGCTGAGATGCTTTCCACTCTCCTGACGTTCATCTTGGGGGACGCTGGGTGAGAGAGCGACACTCTTAAGAGTCCACTGGCCCAGGGGCGACTGGCGATGGGTCTGGCACGGGTGCGCACAGCAGCTCTGTCCTGGGCGACCAAGGCGCTGAGAGCTGGAGGCGGCGGCGGGCAGGGCGCGCGGAGCCGCTGCAGGTGCGGGCGGAGGCCGGCGGGGGGCGCCGGGGGCGCTTTGCCGCGCTGGGTGGCAGGGATGCGCGGGTGGTGGGGGCCGGGACACCAGACGCTGAGAAGCCTGGACGCTGTACCGCCAGACAGAGCGAGGCGCCCCCCGCCCCTGGCACGCTTGGCACCGCCTCTGCCACCTGCTGCCAAGTCACCGAAGGAGAAAGTGGAAGAGGCTGTAGCGGCGCCTCAGGTGACAGCAGATGCACCCAAAAAAAGAGACCTGAAGCGACTTAAGGCTTAGCAGGGCTCCTTTGGAGATTTTCTTGGAACCCCTTTTTGCATCGCCTAGAGCCTGGCTCTAGGCTGGCTCAAGACGAAGCTCTTTGGCAAAGAAACGTACTGCGGGGTCCTTAGGGGGTCAGACGCTGGCCTGTGGAGTGAGAACCTGGGTTCGAAGGACAGCAGAAGGCAAGCGCAAGGAGATGTCCTTCTCAGGAACCAGGCAGAGTGCCAGAAACTCCTAGACAGGAAACTTCCCAAGCGCAACTCAGTCATGAGACTTGGAGAGAGGTTGGAGAAAGTGACTTCTAGACACTGACTAGACAGGGCCAAGGTGAACCACAGCACTTTGCACGGTCCAGCTGAGCTGTCTAGGAGACATTTCCCACCAGCTCCTTCTCCAAAGGGAGGTTTCACTGGAGGTCGCTCTGTTGGAAGGAATGGCTGAGATCCCAGGGGAATTCATCACCCACGGTTGCTGTCTTTCTAAGCAATACAAGGCCAGCAATGGCTGGGAGGCAGAGACAACCCGATAAACCACTTGTGGCCATGGTTACTGTTGGAGAGAGAGCTGAGCATTAAAATAGGCCCCCAGGAGTGAAGTCTATGGTGCCTCTTTTGAAAAGAAAGGTCAAGCTGACCCGTTCTATGGGCCAGCAAAGCAAATTGGCATTTGTTCACAGTCTCAGCTGCAAGGTCAATTGACCCTGACACAGCTGAAGTAGTTTCTAAGAGTTTGGAAAGCCATTCTTTCTCCCTGCACCCATCTAGCTACAAACACCATGAACCCTTGCTCCTTTCTTCAGTTAGGATTCAACTGTCACTTGTCCTTCCTTTCAGCCCTAGTCCCACAAGTGACTCACTTGAAAGCCCTGTGGTGGGTTCCACACTCATGGTTGAGAAGACAGTTCCAGCACCTCCACTGTCTCCATTCAAATCCTACTTCCAATAGTTAAAGATCGCGTGACTTTATCCAAACTGTTTACACGAGCTGTCTGCTGGAATCTACTTTATAGATCTGTTGGGATTTAAGGAAACCAGCAGAAGTATGGCCAAAAATAGCTTCAGGATAGGGTCGTGAAAGCAGCTGTGAGGGCCATATGCTTGGGAACACTAAGGGAGCTGCTGTGGCTGGAGCCGTGATGAAGGCAGAGTAATGGGACAGAAGAGCCAGAGGATAAGATCACGTGCAGTGTAAATATTTACTGAATCAAGTATATACAATTATAAGTAGTGTACATACCTTTCTTCTATAACAAGCCTCCTCCCTGTCCTTCCTAGCCTATTTTCCTATTTCATTCTGGTCATGTGGCATCCTAGGACTTCAGTAATCTCAAAACAAACTTACCACTAGCAATCCTTACAGAAACGACAACTTTCCCTCTGCAGATCACGAATGCCTCTCCAGCTGTAAACTCCAGCGTTTTCTCTCTATTGACTTCTAAAACTACCTTCATGTGTGGGTTTGGGCCCAGCTGGCTGAGCTGGAATCTAACTGTGTGTCCAAAGCGAACAACTCAACCTTTCTCAATTCAAAAATGTACAAAAGAGTAATGCCTGCCTCAGTAAACTTCTGGCAAAGATTAAATGAGATGAAATGCATGATGTGCTTCAGATGATTCTGGCACATAGTAAGAGTTCAGTGAGAGACACTAGAAAGAGAGTTCTCATAATCGCCATTATCATTACCATCACCACATTGTATCCTGATGAAATCAAAGATTAAAAAAAAGGCACCACCTTATTCTAAAACAGATTCTCCCTCTTTATTTACATCACAAGTAATTTACAACTCCTTTGCCATCTGTAAAATTCTAAGAATATTTTCTGTGTGCCAGTCCACTTCTCAAGACCTGTTAGTGAGGATTAGTCCCCTTGGGTCCTTCTATGTTGTATCTCTGGACTAGCTATAAATAAAGCAGCAAAATCATCTAAAGTGGACACTATATTGGAGAAATTGCAACATGTTAAGCCTCCAAAATACTTGTGTGGGATCTTTGTTACTATAACATTCATGTCTGAAGTCTTTATGTGACTTTTTGTCTCTGACAAAACACAGAAAAGTTCTCTTCTGCTGCTGCTGGCCTCAAATGTAGTTCCTTCGATGTGTATGAGCATTTTTCTTGCGTGTATGTCTGTATATCCCAGGTATGCCTGATGCACATGGAGTCCAGAGGAGGGTATCAGATCCTCTGAAAACTGAAATGGAATTACAGTTGGTTGTGGTCTGTCCTGTGGGTGCTGGTTTTGGAGTCTGCATCCTCTGCAAAAGTAGTCAGTGTTCTTAACCACTGAACAATCTCTGCAGTTCCGTTTGCTGCCATGTGTACTGTCGTTCTTAATACTTAGCACTGAGGGTCTAGAGTTAACTGTCTTGTTCATTCCATCCTTTATTGGCTCTTCAGCTGCCCCAAGTATAGGAAATATTCATCCTCTGAAGCTGGCCAGTCTTCCACTCGGCATATGCACAAAGTGTCCTGTTTTTACTGCAACTCCACAGTACTTTTCATATTGCATGTGTCTAGTCCATGGTCCCTACTAGGGATCATATAAAAAAAAAAACAGACACAAAAAATTGTAAGTAAACTATGTGCCAGCCATTAACCTCAGATATTTATGAACATTGCTTCATTTAATCTTTACAAAACCATATTGGGCCATACCTATTTTTTCCAGAAAGTCACCATCCATTTCTCAGCCTCAGTTCTGCATCTGTTAAAAAGGGGAATGTGAAGATCAAATAAGAAAATGAAAATAAAATCTATTTATAAACCAAGAAATATTGCCAGAATATCCAGGATTATTTTATTGTGCTCTGAACAGCTTTTAATGTTGATTAAGTGCTTACTCTGCACCTTGCGCTCTATTAACAAACTCTGTATCACTACATCACTTCACAATTAAGAAGGAATGCGTTATATAACTATTGTATGCTGATTTAAAAACATGACTGAAATTCACAGGCATTAAGTTGCCCAACATCAGTCAGCTCTGAAGAAAAGGAGCTGAGATTTGATGCTGCATTCATATCTTGACAAACCTGGAGCTGTTGGTCACTTCTGGACAGTCCTCAGACTTTAACATATATTAGTCACACATGCACTTGGTGTAAAAACTCCTCTCCTTCAGCCTTGATGAGGGATTAATTGAATTGGTAAAGAAGTCTAAGACTGTCTCTTACATTAATGCATTTCATCTTTTAGAGTAGTTTTAAATGCTTAGGAAAATTTAACAGAAACTCACAGTTCCTTGCACAGAACTTTCCTTCCTGTGTTTTCCCAATAACATCTTGAGGTTTCTCTGTTACAATTCATAACTGACAGACCAACAGCACAGTGCATTTTACTAAAGTCCATAGTTTATTTAGGACTTGTGAGTTTATAGGAAAAGAGATATTTCTCAGAGAGAAAGCCAAGTGAGGATAAAGTACCTTTGCACAGACAGAACTCCACTTTACAGCTTGATCTGGGGCTTGCAGCCTCTAGAACTGGGGGATAATAAACCACTGCTGTTAGAACTACTCAGCCTGAGATTTTGTTGTTGTTATGACAGCCAAGTGTATCACATGTCAACAAAAAACTAAAGCACAGCCTGGGATACTGTGTCTTCATCCTCATCTAGGATCCTGTCAGGAACTCATAGTCTGGATCTGACTTAGCATTCTTGATCAACCATATCCCATTTACCAACACCCTCAGGCCCCTCCAGGTACACAGATGACTCTGGAGATGGAATGTTCAACAAGGTCCATAGTATGTGGCCCTAGGGTCCTTCTGGAGCCCACTGAGTGGCAAGGAGTTGGTATAATAACACTAGTCAGTTCACTGGACTTGACCTTGGCAAGCCAAACCTGTTTTCCTCTTGTGTAAGCCCCTACTTAAATGAATGAAACCGGTTATTGCCTATTAGTGTTCAAGTCACAAGTATTCACAACCATGACCAAGTCACTGCACCTGTCAAATTCTTACTTTTCTATGATTTCTCAGGATTCAAATTATCGGGTAATCTACACTGAGGTTCTCACATTAAAGAAAATATTAATGTTCTATGGAGACAAAGATGAAGAAAGCAGCAAAGGGCCACAAGGCTCTGACCCTTCTGCGCAATGAGTATGTGCACAACCGATTGTTCTTTATGACTCTGAAATGGAGACAGGTCAGATGTTACTAGCCTCACTTTGCAGATGAAGAAACTGACCCCCTCAGAGATGAAGGAAGTTGCTTGAATTATCATAAGGCACATGAGATGCAACCAGGTCAAAAACTTTCATCACCTGACACCTTTCAGCGCTCGGCTCTGTGAGTCTTGTCAACTTTATATAAGCTGGCGTGCTGCCAAATGAACTGTAATTCTCTAAGCACCAAAATTAAGACTTGGCTTGCAACTCCGTCTTACAGGGTAAGTCCATATTAAAAGTGGAGAGTTATTATCTCACTGAACTGCATTTCTCCTGCCTTGTGGACTTGAGCAAATACACTGGCTGCAGTCTCTGTGTGGTAGCAGAGTTGATTAGGGGATTTGCTTTCGAACAGGGCTTTACTTTAGCCATAGAACTCATCAGAAACTTACATGCCATTAATAGAGTTAACGCTGAGAAGATTTTATCTAGACTATATCTCTAGAAATATGTTCTAATTGGGAGATGGGCTTATTAAATTCTAAATTGCTTTATACTTTTGACTTGGCATTTTTGTTGACTGTTCACTGACCTGCACAAAGGCTTAAAACAGGAAAGTAGAGAGTGTTTGCTAGTTTATTAACTGTTTCAAGGAAGCTGTACAAAAATGATTTCACTAAAACTGAATGATTGGTTTCTAGAGTAACCTCTTGAATCAAATTTGGATATAGTAGATAACTATTTTACACCACCTGCTTTCTGCACCAGACATTGTGCTGGTTGCTTTTTGGCAGTGTGATGCAACCTAGACAGATCTGGGAAGATGAAGTCTTAATTGAGAAAATGCCTCCATCAGATTGGCCAGTAGACCCATCTGTGTGGTATATTCTTGATTATTGATGTGGGAATCCCAGCTCACTGTGGGTGGTGCCACCCCTGGGCAGATGGTCCTGGAGTATATATATAAAAAAAATATCAAACTAAGAAAGCCTGGAGAGAAAGCCAGTAAGCAGCATTTCTCCATGGCCTTCAGCTTCAGTTCCTGCCTACAGGTTCCTGCCCTAACTTCCTTCAGTGGTGGACTGTGGTGTGGAAGTATAAGCCAAATAAACTCTTTATTCTTCAAGTTCCTTTGCTCATTGTATTTTATTACAACAATAGAAACCTAAAAAAATAAAAATGAGAAATACACATTTATTTATGTGTGTGGTACATTGCTAAAAACTAGTGAGCTCAGTGACTTACATAAGACCTGAACAAGATAAAGTCATCCAAAATTCCAGCATAGATGGGGGAGGTGCTTTCTAGGCTCTAGAGTTAATAGCTCCTAGGGTGGGGGAAGGGAGACTCATTCCTTTTAAAAGCATTGGCCATTCATAGGTTTCCTGTGCTCCCATAGCTAGCACCACACTTGTGTACATTTAGGTGGTTCTAATTGGACTTAGTGAGCTATTAAAAAAAAAGAATTAACTTGGGAGGGGCACATATTCGGGAAGACATGGCAAGAGTTGGAGGAGAGAAATTCGGTTGTACATGATCATATTTTATTGTAATATGCATGTGTGAAATTATCAAGAATAAACTCTAATTATCATATTATTTAAACATGGTACTTAACTAAGTGTAAAACTTTTCAATAGATGTGTACTTTGTGAAAATACATTCAATTTATTTTGCCTTGGAGAGAATTAGTAAAGTTTCAGTTCTTTATATAAATTAGGAATGTTGTAGGGAAACCAAAAGCCCACAGCCTAAGATAATACTGAACATGTAAGCCAAATATGTGAAACTGTTACTGTTACGCACACACTTGTCAAAATAGATGAATAACTTGATAAAGTGCAGGTGTTAGCTAACAACACGCTAACAAACGAGTGAAAGGGAAAAGGGATAGACCTTAAAGGCTCAGCGCTATAAGCTTTTCAAAAACCCAGATCCTCGGGTGTGTGAGATGGTTCTGTTTGTCAACTTGACACAATCTAGACTCACTTAAGCAGAAAGTCTCAGTGAGGGGTGATCCAGATGAGTTTGACCTGTTGTCATGTCTACAGGAGACTGTACCATGTTAATTGATGGGCGAGGATCCAGCCCACTATGGTTCACCATTCTCTCTGTGCTCTTGATTGTGTATGTAATGTGATCAGCTCCTTCAAGACCCTGCTGTCTTGAATTCCCCATAATGATGGACTGTAACTGGGAATTGTTAGCCAATTAAATGTTTTCTCTCTTAAAGTTGCTCATTTCAGGGTATTTTATCACAGCAACAGAAAGGAAACTAGGGCAGTGGACGAGAGCAATAGGTGTTATCTTCAAATGTGACTCTATCCTGAACAGTGGGTGCTCATTATGTTGGTAAATAGAGTGGAGATGAATAAATAACATCACACCATACTTGAATATGCTCCTTGATATATAACAAAAGTTTAACAAAACGGATACATAAGTTATTTACAGACTTTTTAAATTTACCCTCACCTTAAGAAAAGGAGTTCCCACACATGCACACCCATCAACACCTGAGACAGGTGGGAGAGCTGGCCCTGAGGTCAGAAGGATGAGAGAGCTGCCCCTTCCTGCCACCAGTTGCAACACTTGGGAGAGCAGGCCCTGCACCTCACCTGGGCAGCACAATAGAGCCAATCCTGTCGACAGAGGTATGGGTGAGCCAGCCTTGAAGTTGAAACATGGGAGAACTGGCCCTGTTCCTCATCTGTCACGTGGTAGCATGGGTGGGGAAGAAATGAGTTCCCCCCACCAATCAGTGCCTGAGGCATGTGGGAGAGATGGCCATGAGGACATAAGAGCACTCAAGAGAGTGGACCCTATGTCACACCTGGGCAACACAGTAGTGTAGATGTAACCAATCATCTTATTAAATAAGAAACACAGAACCAATGCAAAGAAGAAAGCCAAGAGGTCAGAGCTAAGAGTTAAACCTTACCCTTCCTCCTGCGGTGGTCCTACCTCTCTGAAAGAGAGCTACTTCCTGTGTTAAAGTCTTTATAAAGACTTTTGGTTCTGCCTTCTCATTGGTTGTAAACCCAACCACATGACCACCTCATCACTGCCTGTCTGTATAGACCTCCAGGTCTTCTATGGTTGTTATTGAGATTAAAGGCATGTGTCTCCAATGCTGACTGTATCCCTGAACACACAGAGATCTACCTAGCTCTGCCTACCAAGTGCTGGGATTATAAGCATACGCCACCACCACCCGGCTTTCCTATGGCTTGCTAATAGCTCTGACCCCCGGGCAACTTTATTTATTAACATACAAATAACATTTTAGTACAAAATAAAATGTCACCATATAGTAGAGCTGGCCCTGAAAGTGTAGATGTAGGAGATCTGACCCTGAGGACATGAAAGCCTGAGAGCTGGCCCTGCCTCTTGCTCATGATTGCAAAGGTTGAACTCATCAAAGCAATGCAGGAGAGCTTACCCTTCTGGTGGGGACAAGGGAGAGCTGGCAGACTGACCAACCCTGCAACTACACAGGCCCACAACCAGGGTTATGAGGTGACTCACCCCAATATCTACCCCATCTGTCATCTGCTGGAGCATGTGAAGGGACCAGTCCTGCAGACCCAAAGCTGCAGGATTTCCATAACACAGCACAACAGGAGTCTCAGTGAGGGCCTAACGTTGATAGTGTAGCAAACCAGAGGCCACTAACTAGACTAATGACTCTTTGCAATGAACACTTGCAAGTAAAGATATATGGACAAAAGTGTTTACTGTCTGACTCATTAAGTCACACTATAGCTTCCATGATGAGATTTGCCCCCCCTTTTTTTCTTTTTTCTCTTAAATTTTATCTGGGGTGGAGGACTTCAAAGGGAGAGGGCAGATACACAGGGATGGGAAATGAATGGGATCGAGATGCATGATGTGAAAGACACAAAGAATAAATAAAAAGAAGGTTATAATAAATAAATAAAATAAAGAGAGGAGTGCCTGGATGAATAAAAGAATATGAGTGACTAATTAGCCACAATATTTGTGGTGGTTTGAATGAGAAGGGCCTCCAAAACCTTATATACATGAATGCTTGGTCCCCAGCTGGTGGAGCTGTTTGGGTAGGATTATGTGGTATGGCCTTGATGGAAGAGATATGTCACCAGGGGTGAGCTTTGAGCTTTTAAAAAATAACCATACTATTTCCAGTTAGTTTTTTATCTTCCTCACACATTTGTATAAGATGTGAACTCTCAGCTATTACTAGAGTGCTGTGCCTGCTGGCCTCCTGTGACATACTCCCCTCTGTGATGGTCATAGACTCACCTGTGAAACTGTGAGTCCCCCGTAAACTCTCCTATAAGTTGCCTTGGTCATGGTGTTTTGTGACAGCAATAGGAAGTAACTGAGACAATATTTTACTGAAAAAATGTTCTGAGAAGATAAAATTTTGGTAAAGTAAAATAACAGAGAAATCACTCTGATGCACAAAGCACAAATGTAGAAGTATATTTCCTAATCTCTGGTTCCTCATTCTTTAATTTATAAGCAAGAGCTATGTTTATCAATGCAGTCTTGGGAATCCTCTACCATTCATTCAAGACGCACCAAGCTAAGTACTGAGTAGAAAAATATAACAGAGGAAAAGAATTCCTGAATTCAAAGAGCTGCTAGTGTAGAGATGCATCCACAACAGGAAGTAAGTTTTCAATCAGTGAGTGGATGCTTACATAGTATGCATGATGCACCACTTCTGTGTTATTCCATCCTTGTAGCTCCATAAGATTGTCTATCAGTTAACATAAAAGAAACCTCCCTCAATTTAGTAGCTTAACAAAACAATGATTTGCGTTGCTTACATTCCTGTGGTCTGCCAATTTAGACTGTGCTCAGCTGGGTTCACTCATGCATCTGTAGTCAGCTGGCAATGATGTAGTCATCTCACGTGCTACGCAGGTGGTTTGAATAATGAAGAAAACCAGACTATGTCTCCCTTGTCATCCATCAGTCTTGCCTGTATTTCTTCATTTGATGCTAGTTTATGAAGACAAAACCAAAGTAGGTGCTTATTACAGTACCTTTCAGCTTCTTCTTTGAATACATTTATTAAATCCTATTGGCCAGAGGAACTCAAATCCATTTCAATTTTGGAAATGAAGGTAAGAATGGGCCTTAGATGGGACAAAATTAAAAATATTGCAAGAGGATTTTCTATGGTCTAATATTTGGGACCCTTCCTCACCCAACTCTAATATGAGTGGGATCTAGACCATTGCTATTTATTTGGATCATGAGAGCAGAGCCTGCATTAATAGGAGTAGTGTTCTGGTAAAGGAAGTAGCTCGCCTCTTCTGTTATGTATATCATCTAAAAACTAAGAAATGAGCCTTCATCACACACTAAATAACTAAATACACTGCCACCTTGATCTTATAATACTCAAGATTTTCAATGAATTTCTGTTGTTTAGAAACCACAAAAGTTGGGATAGTGAAATGGCTCAATGGGTGAAAGTGCTGATCATGCAAGTGTGAGCACCCGAGTTCAAACCTTCAGACCCCACAGAAATTTGGGTGCGTACTGTGAGCCCCTGAAATCCAAGTGTCCCTATACAGAGATGGAAGACTGATACAAGGGACTCTCTAGAAGCACGTGGACCTAGCTGGCATGGAGTATGCAGCTGAAAAACAAGAGAGAAGCTATTTTGAACAAGGTGGAAGGTGAAGACCAAAACTGGAAGTCTTCCTCTGATCTCCACATGTCCACCATGGCATGTATACACCCATATTCACAAAATGAATGTACACACACACACACACACACACACACACACACACAGAGAGAGAGAGAGAGAGAGAGAGAGAGAGAGAGAGAGAGAGACAGAGACAGAGAGACAGAGAGACAGAGAAACTCAATTTATAGCATTCTATTATAGCAGTCCAAGATAACTAGAACATAGTAGTTAGAGAGAAGAGAAGAGTTTATGGCCTTTCCCTCAATCTACTCTAGAGAACTGCTCTTAATGTCTTGGTGCGGACAGAGTTTTTAATGTATTTTCCAATTCCTATCAAGGTCAGTGAAAAGCCTATGAAATGGCAGAGGCATGACTAAACTACTCAGTCAGTTCTGTAACCAACAAGCGTATGTACTATACAACACTACAAATGTCACAAAGGGCTTATTTGTTTTCTGTAAGAACACTTAGCAATGTCTCCAACTCAACAGTGGTCATCAGCAAAGCTTCCATAGACGAAGTAACATCAGTTCTAAATCCTAATGGACAAAGATGAATGAATCCCCTAAACAAGAGACGAAGGCAGGAACATTGCTTATCAAAGTGACCACATCAATACAAGAGACTCATAAAGATTATGGAACAAATTCTTAGAACAAAGGAGTATCACATCGTTTCCTAGGCTGAAGCACTGACAGTCAAGTTCACAGGGAGAAGTACAATTGGGGTAAGCTAAGAAAACCTTAAAACCAAGCTGTGATTTTAGGCTTTGATCAAAGATCTTAACATCTTATTGGAAGAATTTGGGGCAACAGATAGTAACTTGGGATTCTGGCTTATACTCATAAATCTGGAAACCATAAAAGAAAGAAATAGATTTGGGGACCATTAAAAGAGGAGGATAGTTGCAAGAGCCTTGCAGTGACCAAGCAATAGAAATAATTTGAGCTGAGATAATGATATGAAACAGCACACTGGAGAGACATTTATAAGACAGGATGCAATGACTAGTAAGTAAGATGATGAAGGAATCCTTATAATGCTCAGGTTCTGGCTTGGATGCTGCTTGGATGACGGTGTCAATCTCTGGACCAAAGAGTTCAAATGACAAAGAAATGTTCAAGATGGAAATGTGTCATCTCATTTGCATGTGTAATGCTCATATCCAACTGTGAGGTGGAAATGAGTCTGGCATCCCAGAAGGATTCTGGTTTGGAGAAATGGATAAGAAATTCATCGATGTATAGAAAAGATTATCTGGAAATATTTTAGAACAGAACTAATAATATATTAATTATTCATTTGTTTCATGCTGGGAAGAATTTAAAAACACTTCATTTAGCTAGTTTAGTTTTCATGAAGATTCTAAGAAGCAAAGTTGTTACCATGTCCACTTTATAGATACCCACCCAAGTTGTGAAGGCCACATTGGAACAATTGGCTAGAAGGCGATCTTTGAGTCAACTGAGATGGTTTATCACATTTCCATTTGTTTTTCTCATAGGCATGGATGCCTAAGGCTTTATTCTGCAAAATATACTGGAAAAAAAAAGTCTGCAAACTTTGTGAGTTTGACACTGTGTTGGTTTAGTCAAAGATCAGGCTTGTAACCTCAGCTGCCCACTGAAGAGCAAGACATGTTCACTTTTCTAATGGAAGGGACATCTGCAACCTGGCAGTTTTGAAATGAAAACGAAAAGCGCCAATTACAGGAGGAAGCCCACAAGAGGTGCTCAAATTGGTACTTATTATTATTATCTGAAAATTCTAATCATCTACAGCTTTAGCTTGCAAAATAAAGGGATGTAAGTTTTCAAACAGTAATCTTAAACACATGAGCAAAGGGTCTTTTATTAATCTAGGAAGATCATTAATAATCTCCTGGCTCTTAAATACAATCAGGCATTTTGATGGTAGAAGGTCTATAGTGAGTAAGAAATAATTCATAGGCTGTGCAAGAATTTTGATGTCAAATGTCTCCCACCAACTCATATGCTTAAATTAGGAAGTGAGTCCTAGTTAAAGGAAGACAGTCACTGGGAAAGGGGTGACCTTGAAATTTATAGCCTCATTCATTTCTTGTCTCATCCTGTACTTCTTATTCCTGTGAAAAGTGAGATCAGCTCAAGCATTATGCTCCTGCTACCATGAGCTGTGGGCTCACATGCCTTTCTCATGAGGGATCATAGCCCATCAAACTGTGATTCTGCTTCTCTTAAGTTCTTCTTTTCAGGAATTTGGCTATAGCAGCAGGAAAATAATGAATGCAACATGGAATGTCCATTGTTGAATAGCAAGGCTCTTTATACTATGCCAACACTCCAGTGCGAGGCTTGGTAAGAAATAACAAGTCCTATCTACTATTGAGAGGTAAAGACTGAAAACTGGCATTTGCTGAACACTCTGACAGACATTCTTAAACATACATACACATAAATACACATGATTTAATGCATATATTACACATATGTAAGTAATATCTTACTCACCCAACTAGCCTCATCTGGCAGGTGAAATCTAGAATGACCAGATAAGTGGACAACTAAACATAAGCACAATAAGAAAAGTCCAAAGCTACATCAAGCAAGAGAGGAGAAGGTTGCTGAGATCAAAAATAAATCTTTCCAAGAAGTAGAGCTGAGCCAACAGAGAGAGTAGCATGGCTGCTGGTTGGAGGAGGCACATTTGCTAATTATATTTGCATAACTATTGGCTAGCCTTTGACTTCTTTGCCATTCATTTGCTAACCTGTAAGAGGGCCATACTAAGTCTTCTTTGCCACAAAGTAAGAGGTATGATGGTGTGTAAGAAAACCCATAGTAATTTGTACATCCCTACGTGTGAGCTCTTAGAACAATGCAGCATGATACTTTTGTCTAATGTGTTAAAATGGTATCATCAAAACAGTGTCGATACTGAGACAAGCGTGCTGCTCAGTAAACATAAGAACATTACATTTTTAATTAATAGAAAAAAAACCTAGCTAAAGGCATATCAGCATGAATCAACAAGCAAACATGTTAAAAATAAAACATAATTATTATAATCTGCCCTCTGTGTCCATGAGTTCTATAGCCAAGGATTCAATTGACCACCAATTCAAAGTGTTAAAAAATTTTGTCTTGACTGAATACATGCAGATTATCTCTTGTGATTATTCTCTAAATAACAAAGCTTAAGAACAATTTCCATAGTTCAATGTTTTTATTTTAATTACCAATGTTCAGAAAGTTTAAAATATTCAGGAAAATATGCACAGGTTCCATGCCAATACTAGGCGGCTTTGCGCTAGAAGCTCAGCATCTGTGAACTTAGTTATCTGCAGTACATCCTGAACCCAAGCCCTAAGGTCTAAGAAGAGGATTATATTGTTAGTAACCAGATTCAACACAATGGTTTTAGAATGTTCGAACTGGATGCAAACCATGTTTGAGGTTAACTCATTTGCTGATAACAATAATGTACAAAATTATACTAGAGACAAAGCTATGATGCCAGAACTCTGCCAACTAAGGAGTTAATGGAGCCAAATTCCTGGCTGCCCAGTCTGAAGTAAGGGCACTCCTGCTGGTTCCATTTCCTCCTCTTTGGAAGAGTTTCCTTTGTTCCCTTCTGGCCCTGTTTTACTATAAATTGTAAATACATATCTTTTGTGTTAAGTATTTAATCCCTTCCACCACCCCCAACCCATTTCCCCACCCATGCAGTCAAAATGTCAGGGAAGACTGAACTCACATTTTGTGTTCTCACAAATGGATACTCAGAGCTAGAGCCCATTCCTGGGGCAAAGCAGTGAAAAGCCAGGTCATCATTTTTGCTACAGTATCACCACAATACTTAGAAAACAGCAAGTCACTGTTCTCACATACTGAAGGTCTGAACTGCTGGAAACTCTACCTGAAACACAGTCAAGACAGATTTCAATAATGTCACACTGTAAAGTGATGCCAGCCTACAGCTATTTATTAGCAGCCCTAGAAATCAAACTGAAGCATGCTCAGATCAACGTCTAAGTGCACATTCCCCTCCCAAAATATCTGCTAAGTTTCAGGGTTCATTTTCACCTTGCAGATAATTTGGGATCTCTACAAATTGCCCCCCTCTCTGAGCAGCCAACAATATCTCCTTCATCTTCTGAGATTTCTTTCCAGTTGGGTAGCCAATAAATCAATGTACAGTAAAGTTCCCATTCACAAAAAACCCAGAAGAATGAATGGCAAGGATGCTGGATGAGTTCATAGGGTGATATCTAGACTCCAGTTTGACTTTGGACTCCCAAACAGTGTCCGTAATAACACTCTTCTCAGTTTAGCTGATAGAGGGGGCCATGCAGCATCACCATTTCATCTTTCCACACCCCTCACAACACACACACACACACACACACACACACACACACACACACACACACACACACACACCTTCCCTTCTTGTCCCTCCATGGAAATGTGAAGGCTAATCACAAAGATCTTTATTATGGCTGACCTGAATTATTATCCGGAGCCAGAAAATCAGACCCTGGTTTCACAAGGGAAAGTTTTGATTTACGAAGCATAACTACACTGTCAGCATTCTCTAAAATTGAAATATAATGAAAACATTTGTATTATCTATTGAGAGAAGTCATGTTCCCATTCTAATCCCATCTAGCCTAAGGACTCTATGACCTAACAAAGTAAATTCTGTCAATTCTAACATGTTTCCCAAGTCTCCATCTACTGTGCAGAAGAGAAGTAATTATTACCGCCACCCCTGAACAGTGGAAAAAAAATAGAGAGAGAAAAAAATAAAAACACAGGGAGCCTCAAGGCTGAAAGTAATAATGAGATATTTCTTATGGGTATACTTTTCCCAAAAATATCTTGAAAAGGAAAACAAGAGAGTAAGTGAAGGTAGATTGTAATTTACCAAATGTTATTGTTTTTTCAGAGGTAAATACATCAACAGAGATACATGACATGAAAAAAAATCACCTTACCATGATTATTGTTACAAATCAACCCATGCTGAAGATTCTTTGTAACTTATTGGATGTGGTCTCCAAGTTCAACTTCCTGTGTCCAGTAGGCACATTCACAGAGGTTTTCCAACACCCTTTTGGAGTCCAGATCTGAAGTTTTATTTACTGATGCAAAGACTTGCCTTTTTCATATTTCTTCACCAGTTCTGTGCTGAACAGGATACCTTGTGGCTGAGTTCATTTGAGTTATAACCCAGACTCTTAAAACAGAAAAATACACTTAAAGAATGAGGACAAAAAGTGTTATCAATATAAATAATACAATTTTGAGAGGCCAAACCAAGGCAGAACTTTAGAATAGAGACATGCAGCCTTTGTAATGTTTTTTAGTCTTCGTTAGGATGTAAACCAAGCCCATCTCACTGTTTTATGCTTATGAGTGTGGATGTAGATCATGTGTTAGAAAAATTGCACTCATTAACGTTCATCAGTACTGTGTCTAATATGTTTACTCTTATTTTTTTTTACACAAAGCCTTCTTACCTAGAACCTTATTTATTTGTAATAAGAAATTATAATAAGAAATTTTACAGTTCGGCAAATAAAACTGCAATGGCAACAAAAGAAAAAAAATAGCAAATAGGAACTAGAGATAGACACTGGCCCCAGAGGACTGACTCTTTCTTGCCTTCTGGCACTTCACTTCCATCTAGCCAGAGATTTGTCTGGTTTGTTGGGAGGTAAATGAGTGAAGGCTGCTACAGAAATGAAATTTCTTTTTTTTCCTCATGTGGTCATTAGTTAATAATGAATAGCAAAAACAAGGGAGCCATTTGTAATATTGGTTCAGATAAAATTCAGCCAACTGAGCAGCCAAAAGTCTTCCCTTCTGCCACAGTATAGCTGGAAAGGCAGGGTGAACTTTGGGTAACACAAACCAGAGGGCCACAGATTTGACTTTTAGATCCTGACATTCCTTCTTAACCACCTCAATCTGTGGTCTCCCTTCCATTTGGCATGGACTACACATTGTGAAGCAGTGTGGTTAGAAGCCTTCCCACCCAATAGCCAGACACTCTTGAGCTGGGATGTGTTTAGGGTTGTATACAGTGTGATATGTACCTCCAGAAATCATTCTTGGCCACATCTAGCAGGCGTCATAAGAGACTCTCAGAGTATATTGTCTGTCTGACCAGTTCCTCCCCTCTTGCCCACCTTTCCCACCATGAAAGTGAAATATGGCAAATGAAGATACATACCAGAGCAACCAATGACAGGAATAAAATATGCCCACTCCCCTGTTCGCCCAAGGGCAAAAGATCAAGCCCACTGTATCTAGCTGAAGAGGAAAGAGTGTCAAAAGTGACCAATGGCATCTGTAGGTCTGTGTGAATTTAAGTTATTCACAAGCTGCGCAAAGCTGCAAACCATGCTGGCAAAGCTTGTGTGTAGGCAGTGGTATTTGGAGATCCTTCCTACTAACAGCCTACAGAGGCAGAAGAGAAGAGACCAAAGTGATAGCCTCACCCCACCCCGGGAGCAGATGCTGGTGAGTTTGAGTCCTCCCGACCCTGGCCCCTCTGCCCAAATCAACCCCTCAGGAAAAAAAAAATGCTTTTCAACAGTCTAGTTTATCTGTTCACAGACGTTCTTTTTTTAGGAGAGTAATATGAATAAAGTGTATTCTTTTCTAAATGCTGCACATGTGTATAATGTATTTTGATCATATTCATCACCATTAATATCTTTGTCCCTTTCATTCCCATTAATCACCTCCTCTTCCCATCTAACTCCTCTTTTATTTTCCAGAAAGCTTCAACTTCTATTCATGTTGTAGATATGATATCCACCTTACAAAGTTTTTGAGTTGCTTCCCCAAACCTGTTCCATTTGTTCCAATACAATTTAAACTATGGGAGCCTGTGAGGATTTAAACCTCTCTGGCTCCCTGAGGTTTCTGTTCCTTGAACCTGACTTACTGCAACCCATTGTCCTTCTAAACTTGGATTTTCTATACTATGTCTTAGACTAGGAGTGCTCTGCCTCCATCCAAAATTCTTCCTTTCCATCCTGTATGTTTCCTGGGAAAAAGCCTACTCCAGGCCAGTTCCTGACAGTCCAGACAGAGCAGAGCTTCACACCCCCTACTTCTTCATTTATCTTTTTTCTGTCAAAAAAATTGTGCAATTTACCACAATTAGTGATTATATGTTTTATGTATATTTATTAGTTCCAAAATCATTGACCAACACACACACACACACACACACACACACACAAGTACAAGCACATGTACATACACCCTGGAGAACTTAGTTATATTGTATTTTTCATAGATAGGTGACAGACAGACAGACAGACAGTTAGATAATGAGAAGAAGATGGGGATAGGCTCAGTGTCTAGCACAAAATAACTAATCATTATTTCAACAAAAGGACGATTTCTTTATTTCTTGGTATATCTTTTCTGTTAAAAAGAGTACACAGCAGTCACCCTTCAATAAAAAATACCTTGTCACCTGATTTTTTGAATTGTTTTTCTTTTTAGAATGTAGTTTAGCATGAGGACCCCATTTCTAAGTGTAGCAGCTTAACACAATGAATGAATAAGAGATGAAGTTGCCTGGGACTCAGAGAGACATTGCATTGTACTCATTACTTTGAGATGATGCTTCCTTCAAGGACAGTAAACTAGGGAGTAGAGCTATTGAAATACTGTAAATGAACATAGTCTATCCCTGAGCCTTCCCTTTGGAATCATATTGTAACACTCACCCAGATGCTCTCAAAGCATGCTGACATTCTGTGGTCTCCCCAACGACAATCCCCTATACACCATCAAAGACAACATCATTCTTCAAATATACTAACTCCCACTTTGGGTACTTGTTTAGTTCTGCATCTACTCCATTAGAGCTGTACAAATTACCATGAATGGGTGGGTTAAGTCGACACAAATGCATCTTCTTACAATTCTGGCAATCAGGAGTCTAAACTGGGTTTCACTGGGCTAAATAAAGATGTGGGCAGAATTGCATCCTTCCTGAAGCTGTCAGGGCAGAATCCATTTTTTTTTTTTGTCTTTTTCAACAATGACAAATTGCCTGAACATTTTGGCTTACAGTTCCTTATATCTTCAAAGCAGACAATTGCCAAGTGGGCACTTGCCCACTGCCTCTTTGATCCTGACTCTCCCACATATTTCAGGGACACTATGACTTTATGAGACTAACTAAGAACATCCCTCAAAGTATCCCTGTTCCAGCTGATTGACAGCTTGAATTCCATATTCAGTTTAACTCCACTTTTCTGTGTAAGGTAAAATAGTTACTGATTATAGAACTAAGGCATCCTTGCACTTGAGGCACGATCATTCCAAGGTCACAAACCTCATTCTTTTGGTGTCCTTTCCACAGTAAGCAACAGAGTACCTCACCTCATCGTTTAACCACAGTATGCTCTTATACAATAAGGCTTATCTTTTGCCCTCACATTACTGATTTATATGTGTATCTTCACAAGACTATTTTAAGAATGGACTCTAAATAAAAATGAAGTATTAAGGGAGTCAATGTAATGCTATGCACTTATTACTGTTTTTAACAATAGTATTATGGGATGGAAATTGTATCCATTAAGCGGATGGGAAATTACGTGATGTTACCGTAGTTAAGGTCACCAACTAAAATCTTAGATCCCTTGTAAGTCTGAGCTGAGTCTCTCTCTCTCTCTCTCTCTCTCTCTCTCTCTCTTTCTCTCTCTCTCTCTCTCTCTGTGTGTGTGTGTGTGTGTGTGTGTGTGTGTGTGTGCGTGTCTGTGCGTGTCTGTGTGTGCATGTGTGAAATGGGGTATAAGTGCATATATATATATATATATATATATATATATATATATATATATATATATATATATATACCTATTGAATACCATGAACCTTCTCCTATCACTTCTCACTTTAGTTTTTGAGATAAGGTCTCCAACTGCACCTGGAGCTCAATGATTCAACAAGATCAAATGGCCAATGAGCTCCAGGAATCAACCTGTCTCTACCTTCCCAGAGCTGGGACTGTAGGCCCATGACATGATGACTGGTGTTTTACATTGGTGCTAAGGATCTGATCTGCAAGATTGCCCATCAAGCACTTTACCAACTGAACCATTTCCCTAGTCCTTAAATCTGAGATTTTTACTCTCAACTTGAGGGTCCCTGAAATTTACAGAGAAGGCCCAAGATGCAATAGGTATTTATAAAAGAGTGATTGAATTTAGTTTGTTGAGTATTCTATTTCTCACCACAATCTCACTTTCTATTTGGTTGAAAAAAATCTCTTTATTGCATTTCACTTCTTTTATTCCATGTTGTAAAGAAAGAATTATTACTAAAACTGCATGCTTCTTTTCACCTGTCAAAATAACTACATTGTTTTAATTCTTTAATTGACACAGATTATCAATATCCAATGATAGTGACAGGTGCTCAATATCCATACTCTCTCTTCTTGACATGTCCGTAATCCCAAAGAAAAACTGGAAATCAGTAGGTCCTGAGGCCCAGATTCAGCAAGTCTGGCAGAGGGGATTCAGCATTAATATGTGTAAAAATGCCCCTCAATGAGGGCAGTTGGGCAGTTGAATTTGCATGAGCTTTAAAGGATGATGAATGGCAACCGCATTGTGTGGTTCCTCATAAAGATATCACCTGCATATGGTGGAAATTCACAACTGCTTGACAGTAAATAAATCAATCCCTATAACTTATTTGACAGCATTCATTCTTAGAGTTAAATATATTTAAGAATAAATATTTAACTGTGGTATAGAAAATACTGGTTCTTCGTCCTGAGAATTTTTCTAACTTATTCTATAAGCCATGCCTTTGTTGTAAGAAAATGCCCCATTACAGCAACACATTTTATTCCACAAGAAAAATACATGTAATCAAATACATCATTATCCCTTTGTCTAATACTGCTTGTAGCTCTTTGAAGAGTTCACATGGAACTGTCACCTTTATTAAAGAATTCTTAAACAGGGCAATATCTACTTACACATACATAGGCTCGCCAATGCATCTCCTCAAATAAAATATGTGTATATGCGTATATACACACACATACAATAGTCCCATATTATAGAATCTGAAATTTCTCTCACAGACTAATTTTGAACATTTTGCCTAGGTAGTAGTACTGCTTTAGGGTGCTGTGGAGATCTTGGTAGGTGGGGGTCTCACTTGCTGAGATGCATCACAAAGACTGTACAGACTTCCTGGTTCTAGTCATAATGTCTATGCCACAAACTGAACTGTTTGCTCCACCATGCTTTCCCAACCATTATAAACTGAAACC